CGTTTCAATGACATTATACTATTGCAAGATCGAGACAGGTGGCAGAGTTACATTATCTGTGCCTAAAGTGATTCTTGTTTGGGTGGATGGATCTAAAAACAACTCCAGCTATAAAAAGTTGATTTTGAAGCTTCACTTTTGTCCTTGTGATTCTCTGAGTAATTACGTTGGTGGTATCTATATTTTGGAGAAACAGCTTGCGCAGCACTTTTACTATTCTCGTCACACAGTGTGGTATGTTTCTTTCTTGCCTTTTCACTGACCCCAATTACAGAGCGAGTACAGGCTGAACCTGTGTCATCTCCTGTCTGTCTCGGAATCAAAAAAACACAGAGGCGACGGCATGCGTTCTCCTCCTGACAAGACCCTGTTCAAAAGCACCAATTATCTCACAAAAACAACAGAAAATCATAAGTCACTTCAACATGAAACCTAATACCAAAAAAGCAATTAGTTCTTAAGACAAGGTACAACAAGCAAGAAAATATTGATCATGTTATTTTGTTCAAATTTAATAACCCAACCTTTTTCATAATTCAATAAAACTTCCAGATAACATTTGCATAACAGCTTCGCGTAACTGCTTAAGTACATAAAAAAAAAACCTTTTCTGTAATCTCCAAAGCAAAAATTGGTGATTTAATTAGCAAAAACCGTACTATTATTTCTTTAAAGAATGCATTTTTTAGACCACCTGACCTTATATTGTAATGTAAAGTATTTATTAGAAGCTGTGAGATATGAAATGCAATGAAGGAGTAAAGTATTTAATCCAATTGGGAAAGAGCTCGCCTCACCTGGCAATGGATTTGTCTGTGTTCAATTTTTGTCTGTGTTCAATTTTAGAAATGAGCAGCACTGTTTGCAACACAAAACTGAATTATGTTTTGAGTGGTTTTAAAATCTGTATAACTAGGTCCTGGCTTTAAGCAGCTTGATTGAATCACTAGTTTTCACGTGCTTGTATTTTTGGCCTCTGTCACATCCTTAGATCATCTTTTTAAGACAGAAAAGTGAAAAATAGAGGACCACCCTCACTCTGCTAATCAGCTCTCAGCCCAAAGCATCAAACAGTGACTCACAAATATGCAAAAGATAACATGATTTCTAATTAGATGACAGCAGCTTGTCTGATTTGTTCACCACATTTTGCTTTAATATGTGAGACTCCTTCTGTGTAAAATAATGTATTTTCTATTAACCAAAAACGTACGTGCCGCAGCTTCAAAGTTAAGTACAGGCTATAGATACAGTATACAACGTATTTCAAAATCAAGAGATCCTTTATTTGTCCTACACTGCGGAAATGTCAGCGTTGCATCACTAGTTACAGAAGGCAAGGCAATGCAAGTTTATTTGTGTAGCACAATTCATACACAAGGCAACTCAAAGTGTTGAACAAAATAAGATAGCATTAAAATCATAAATAATCACAGTACATTAAAAAGAACGATGAAATAAAAAAATCCCTCAGTTGTATGCACAGCTAAACAGAACTGTTTTTAACCTGGTTTTAAACATTGTCAGAGAGGAGGCTTATCTCACACTTTCAGGAAGATCGTTCCAGAGAACAGTAGGAATGAGGAGCACACAGCACAAGTTAACTTTATACTAAGTAAGGGATAATGTATATTACGCAGGTCATTATCGGAAAATAAGTACCGACAGGGCGAAGCGGACCCCGACGCGCAGCGAAGGGGTCTGCTTCCGCCATGGCAGCGGCCATTATTGTTTTGAGAGGTCCGCTCTCAAGAAATAATGACCGGTAGAACGTTTTGAAATTACATTCAAATCAATGGAGCATTCTACTCCTGCTGTGATGGAGCCGTGTAATAAAATATAATAATATCTCTAACTTTGACATAAAGAATAAGTAACCATTGCATACTTATGAAGTGCTTTTAAGAATTTTAAACCAGTGTTAGAAAAAAACTTTTACATCAAGAGTTAAGACGGATTTAAACACCTATAACTTTCTACTGCTTCCAAGAGCTACGGGTCCGTCCACTTGTTCTTACAGCATATGCTTCGAACATACTTAAAAGTTCCCTCTCCTGGTCCACCTCTGATTGAAGATCTATTTAGTTTTTAATGCAGCATATTTTCCATCATTTCGGGAGGAAGCGGAAACCGAAGCAATCACTTGATACTTGGAAAGAAGTGGCAATCGCTGGTCGAATTAGCATGAATTTGATGAGAACGCGTTGGAGAGGCTGATGGGCCCGCTCCATACACCGCGGAACATTTCTCCCTGCTGCTGCCGCTGCTAAGTTGGTGAGTTGTTATGGCTTGTGCGTGTCGTCGTGGCGATAGGGGGTTTGAAGCCAGCAGCAGCCCCACTCCACGGGTTATTTTTAGTGGAGCATCTGACCTCACAGCTCCTTTCTGTCCCTCAATGCCACAGGGAGTCAGTGTCTGGACCGTGCACATACATTTTGTACAAACACTAGCGGGCATGTGGCGGGGGATGGGGGGGATGGAGGGGGTGGGGAGGGCAAGAGGAGACTGGAGCTTTTTTAGCGTAAAAGTGATGAGCTAGTGTCTTTGTGCGGGACAGTGGTAAATGGGGGCTATTTGAGTTGGGCGCACTCTGAGGTCGCTTTGTCCTTTTCACACAGATGCGCAGACGGTCAAGTTCATCGTTAGTGTTAAGGACCTCGTTAAAAGCAGCGAGAAGATTTAAATTATGCACGCGTTTACATGGGCGGCATGTTTCAGGGCAAATTATCGAATGCAGTTTTTGTCTGACAAACTTTGGAATTTGATTAGATTTCCAGCATACAATAAACATTTACTTTAATTCAATTCAGATCAGAGAATCAATTGGTTCAAACTGCATACTGTAAATGATAAAAACACAAAGAGCCTTTGGTCCAAAAGGGGCAGGTGACCTATGTCCTCAAATGTTGATATATGTCCATACATGACGGTAAAACTTCAGAAACTCGGCTTGCAGTTCGTCTTCCTTTGGGGTTATTACAAGCTCTGAGCCAATTGTTAACATTATAACAAATAACAGCTTGATACATCTCACTTTGCGTGTAATTCATCTGTCATGTATTAGTTTCTGAATCCCAGAATTAAATGGACATTTGAACCATATTCTAATTTTCAACGGAGTTTCACCTGTATGTTTAATAGTGTGTAATCAGTAAGCAGATAGTACATCATAGTGTGTTGCTAATTGTGGTTGATAATTTGTTTATTTATTTAAAACTTGTACAAGATATACAAACAATTATTCACAGAAAACAATTAGGATAAAAGCAAACAAATACCTGTACATGGTTTGAAAAGGAGTTGGATGAATCGTGTTACATTTAAGCTGTAGTTTAAATGCTAATTAGGCCATTGCATTTATTAATTCTTTGCACAGTGTAATTTTGCTGTCACTTTGCCTCTGCCCAGGGACGACGGATGGAAATTAGCTAGTAGCTGTCTAGTCTGTACAATACATGCATTGTACAATGTCCCTGTCAACTAAATAAATAAAATAGTTTTACTTTAACCTGCATATCTTCAAGAGAACAACTTAAAACAGTGCAACAATACATGAACTGATTAACTAATCTAAGATTCCCAAACATTGCATGGAAACATTTATATAGGGCTGCAATATTTTTCCAGTTATAAGAATGCATAGAGTGAAAAACAATGATAAAGTACGATGCCATAAAAATGCTACTTTCCATCTGTTGTGCCTATTCCCTATAGACAGGTAACACAGGCACACAATGGATGCAATTTAGCTACAGTGCTAATTCCAGCGTAATTATGTTGAAGCTGCTTGCTGACAGCATGATTAATACATCTTAATTTAAAAACAAAACAAAAAGGAAAAGCACAAAGACAAACCATAAACTGACAACATACAATGTTTTTGTCGACAGAACCTTGCACAGAATTGTTTTACTTGAAAACAAAGGGTCAGGGTTTGGGTCAGGGTTAGGGTTAGACAATTTTTAAGGGGAGTGCACAAACCAAAAAAGGTTGGGAACCACTGCTGTAGACAACAGTGGTCTGACCTGTTTGTGGGAATGGCTGCATTGAGTCCAGTTGTGTTGCATAGACGTCCATATTCACAGCCTGTATAAATGCAGTGATTGTTAAAAGGGGTCCATTTGAGTCCCCCTCTGTCTGCGGTCACTTTGTCCTCTCACAGATGAACCGCACTTCCTGCCAAACAGACAAGTCAAGTTCATTAGCGAGGCACAAGTCACTTCAGGGCCACCTTGCTTGTTGAATGCCCTCTCTCTCTCTCTCTTCCACACACAACACCTCTGCCCTAGACCTTCATTTTACTCACAGATGGGGACACTGCTGTACGTGTCCTCCAGTCAACGCCACACACAGATGCAGAAACAGTTTTTTGTTATTGTTAGTTTTCCTGACTCCACTGCCTGTAACTAGCCCCTGATCTTCGCCTGGGGCAGGTTGCCATAGCTCCGTGTGTGACCCAGTGTCAAGATGTCCCTCGGGTTGAGCCTTTAAAAAAAAAAGAAAGAGAAAAGAACAGCAAGCAAACCTGACTGCATTATGTGAGTGCGGGCATCACCTCATAAATCTCCAGGCAGCCAGCTGTGTTACTTGGCAGTGGACATTCCTACCAAAATTAAAACGGTAGGGCGTTGTAAATTTGTGTTTTTCTTTTCGCACAAAAAAGGGGTGACATGTTGACCTTAAGGCTTGGTGTTCGGTGTGCGACGCTATAGGCTGCTGCTGTGTTCGGAGCAGCTCTTGATAGTTACAAGCAACACCATTGACAAGCAATTACTGTATATTAGATGTTCGTGTTCAAGGGAAGGCATTGCTGATAATAGACAATCTTCCCCCACAATGTCTCAGTGAAACTTCCCCAGGAAATAGGTTGTTTTTGCTGAATGGGCATGTCTGAGGTGCTTGTCAAATTTACAACAACATGCCGGTGCAAGAGAGAAGTATTTGTTGAAAATATCATACCTATGGGTGAATATTAAGCATACATTTTAATCTGTGCACAGGTGTAGTCTCCAGAAGGACTGCGGTCTGGGTGTGACTCCACGCTCCTGGATCGGTTTGGGAGAGGGGCCACAGCAGTGTCCGTCCATGACCCTCACCCCTCCAGAAATCAACATCTCTGCAGACATCAAGGTGAGGAGACACACATTCAATCACCGGGAGGAACATAACATGCATACCTTTATCCGCCTGGCTCCTCTGACCGCCGAGACGTAACCGCTGCTTTTGCTGTTCTTTGTGCTATGTGATTGATTACCTCTCTTTGTTTGTTTGTTTGTGTCATAACTCAAAACATTGTTGGAGGATTTGGACCACATTTTATTACAACCGCTCCAAAACTATTCCATCACTATTTTCACTGTCTCACTCCTGATCACTTTCTCAAGTTCAAAACACTCACATAAAAAAAGCTTTGAGGAAAAAGATAATGAGATCCGGATCACTCTGGGTCCAGGAATTTTTCAAGGATAAAAACTGTCTCCTGGCGTTGGTCTGTGCTCTACGAGTGATTTTCAGGTTTCAACTGTATTACAGAATGAAGCGTAATAGGTCTACTTTTTAAATTTTCACATTCATTTTCAAAACATTTGGGGGGGGCGACAGTAGCTCAGTTGGTAGAGCATTGGTTTTTGAACCTAATGGTTGTGGGTTCGAGCCCACCATGACCCTCGTCACCTGCTCCCACTGATGTCTGCGGTCTTTGTGTCCCTGGGCAAGACACTTAACCCGACATTGCCCAAAGCCCCTGCTGAAAGACCAACGCCACCTCGACGATGACGGAGAAGCCATCTTTCCGTGGACTCACCACCTGCAGGAAGATCAGCGAGGGACTTGTGCTATAAGACTTAGGTGGCAGCTCTGATTGCCACCCCCTGACCCAGAAATGGATTAATCAAGGGGTAGAAAATGACATGACGTTTTCAAAACATTTAAAAAAGACAGTTGTCAGAACTGGTGGCATCAAGCAGCCTATTAAAGCTGGGGTACCTAATTGCAAAATTAAAAACATCCATTTTATACAGCGCTTTTTCAGGACACTCAAAGAAGCTTCACATGTCTTTGTTCTCTCACTCCATACACAGTGGTGATTAACTACTGTTGTTACCACATCTGCCCTGGGGCACACTGACAGAAGACAGGCAACGAGGCAGGCATTGACCCGTCCAATCACCACCAACCATTCGCACACACACCAGACTCATTCTAGACAATGTGGGTGAAGTGTCTTGCCTAAGGACACAATAACAGTGTACAGCCGCAGCCGCCCGACTGTGGCACCTGGTGTGCCCAGAGGTCTCCCATCACCGCACTAACCAGGCCCTGCCCCGATTGGCTTCAGAGGTCTGACGGGGATATGGCCACCTACATGTAGCTGCATGATAAAAGAAAAGAAAACATGAAAATGGAGACTGCATTTTGTGTTGTGAATTGCTGGAAAAGTCATATGTTTACAATACTGTTCTGTTGGGGCAAACATATATCATGGATGAAAAGGTTAAGTACCCCAGATTTACAGGGACCTTGGTAACTATTTCCTTGTACACAGACAGTTTTGTAGTTTGTGAGAGTTGAGATGGGAACAAACATAAACATTGGAACAGAAAAGAAAAGAGCAACTGATCATTATGTAAAGATAGCGCAGTGTTGTAGTGATAAAGCGATAAAGCCAGATTTTCCAGACGGATGTGGTTTGTATACCGAGGAGAGATTGTATAATTTTCTGAAAGTTCCTGAAAGGTAGCTATCGAGGAGAGATAATCATTTAATAACTGAGCAATTTATAAATCTGCAAGACGTGGGGAATGCGCTATTGACTTCTCTAATAATCCCATTAGACTCATTTTAATGAAACCTGACGAGATAATAAATCATAATAACAAATACACGGCCTGTGTCATTTAAGGACTATGACGGCTATGTTGTTCTTTCCCCAGGTTTGCACAAAAACAACCGTAAAAGCATGCGCCCAGTCGAATAGCCCGGCTGTGTATTCCGTTCCATCTAACTTGTCCCTTGCTCTCAAAGCAGTTGGGCTCTATCACTAGTTCTCACATGTAATTCACATACTGAAAATGTATTTAAATCCGGGTACCTAACTTTCAAACCTCACAAATCTGATCTATGTTTTGTGTGGTTTTGTGTACGTTAAAACCATGTAACTATAGGACCTGGCTCAGATAGAACTTAGACTAGTTGGGAGTTTAGTTCTATCACTAGTTGTCACATACATGTTTTTTGACCTCTGTCACATCTTTAGTTCAGCTTTTTCCAGACAGAAACTTGAAAAAGATCCCTTTCACTCAGCCAATCAGCATCAAGTTGAGACTCATAGGGCTCTTCATTTTAATTATACAACAAATAACATGTTTTCTAGTTAAAAACATTAGTTGGTCTGAATTGTTCACAACACTTGACTTTTACATGACTCTTCTATTGGGACGAACAACAGAGATAATTCCTATGAAAAAATAGGTACCCCAGCTTTAATCATTTAAATGTATAAAGCAATTCGTGGCACATTCTATGCATGTTATACCTCTATAATAATAATGTGGAAACAATTATACCCATGTTGAATTTATCACCAAATCCACCAATGCCAATAAATAAGTTTGGGTGTTCTGGCTTGGGCAGGTGAGAGACTTTAATGTGTTAGTTGGAGAAAAAAGAACAAAATATTCCCTCTTGGACGTGAAGGACAGACTGCGGAGGCTACTTGTTTTGCCTCTACAAGGTTGTGGCATGAAGTTGAAGAAACAGGACGAGAAAGTAGCGTCAGCGCAATGGTGTGAGTGGAGCCCAAAACTGTCACTTATGTATGCCAAAAAAAATCGTTAATACAAATTGAGAAATGGATTCTTTTGATATCTCACATTTGAAGGGTATGCCACGCTGCCCTTGCTTGTAGCCTATAGCCGCCTCTTTGCCTCTGTCTCTTCACACATTTAAATATTTTTGCTGAAACGCAGTCATGTCACCGAGGTGCTATGTTTCTCATTATACGTCTGTCATACTTCATCACTTAAGCCAATTTTAGACGTGATGCTAGCACCCCGCCATCTGTTTCTTCATTGCACATTCGCTTTTCACGGCTTCTCTCCTTGAACTACTGAACAAATTTGAATAAAAGCCAATATCGGTTCAACCTCTGCTAAAGATTAGGCACATTACTCTACTGTATAAATAACAGAGGAGGTATAGTAATCTGGGTAGGGAATTGTTACTTTTAAATACTATTATCAAAGATGACAAAATATGGAGGAAAGTAGGTGTTGCATGCACACTACAATGATTCACTGATGGTATTATCTCCACAGGATGTCTAAATTATAAAAGTGTGCAACCCCGCAAATGTCTTAGACTAGAGCACTGTGGACCAACCACCAACCACCACCATTTGACAACTGTTTGAGACTAGTTCACAAGAATATCTCGGCTTTTGAAATGAGTGACTCTGTTCTGAGGGATGTATTTATCAATCCAGGTGCTAAATGGCAGGTGCAAAGTAAAACGAGCCTGTCCAATTTTAGTGGTTTAGTTCTGTGAGACATGTGTGTTACAAATCAATTTTCTCACAACTTTCGCACACATGCTTGATCAGTAAAACCATATTATTTTCCACTCATACTTCTCACGTTCAATTCAATTAAAATATCAATCATTCAATATGTATTCATAAAGCACGTTTAAAAAGCCTAGGCTTCTCAAAGTGCTGTACAGACAAGTGAAAAACAGTAAAAATACAAATGAAAAATAAACCTTATGCCTAATAGAAAAGGTGCGTCTTAAGCAGACATTATTTTGGGAAGGCTCAGCCGCTCTTCTTAGTTTAAGATTAAATTATTTGTTTCTTCTATAAAAGACAATTGTACAATAGCAATGTTATTAAAAAACATGTCAAGGTAATAAAATAGCTATTGTTTGATTTAGAAGAAACAAATCGCTTTAATCAGAGATGGTTCACTTGGCTTGAAGCATGTGCATTATTATCTATTTGGGAAGAGATTAAGAGAGCAAAGTCACTTTATTATACCAAGGAAAAAAAACGCAAAAAAACTACACATTGGCGATAAACTACTGCGGCCTCAGCTGTCCATGTTGCACACTAACAGAAGTGATGCAACCAGAAGGCATCATCAACCCCTCCTACCCCCACTAACCATTCACTCACACACCAGAGTCATTCTAGGAAATGTGGGTGAAGTGTCTTCCCTCAGGAGACAAAGATAGTTTGGGACTACACATTCGCACCCACCCCCCAGAGATCTCCCATCACCATATTAACCAGGTCCTGCCCTGCTTAGCTTAGTAAAACAGGATTTGGCTTTCCCATGCAGGTGGCACCACCATATTGATAAAGTAAGGTTTGAAATATTTTGAAAAGGGGTTTTATAGTGGGGCATAGTGTATGTATTGTGCAGACTCTATGAACCTAATACCACACAGGTCCAGAGTGGATCTGTGCTCTCCCCCTTTATGCTTCACCAGCTTCACCACAGATCAAGAAAGAAAGCAGTGTATTCTTTTTCCTTTGATTAAACATGTTCAAATCCTCCACCTATCACAGATTCAGAAAACACAATCTCCAAACAAAGCGAGTAAAAGCTGTAGGCGTGTCTCGGTGCAGATGATCAGAGAAGTCAAAAAGTATTCTGAGGAAAGCACCTATTTCCTCTGAATGGTCCAAAGCATAGTCAGTTTTTCTGAACAGCAAAACTGAATTAGTTAGAGCTTTGGGTTTGACATTTGTCCAACCATCATCGATTAACATGCATAACATTCCAGTTGGCTAATTGGATACTTGTTGCATTTGGCTCTATCCTTAAGTGCGGAAGTATCTAGTATCTCCATTTCCCACTTTGGCAAAATGTACCTTCTCCTGATAACTATTACAAGTGCAGATAACCATAAGCGTGTGGCCCAGAGTGAGGAAGCAGCTATTGATTCACATCGATCTGTCTTTGCGGTTGTAGGACATCGGGATCTTGATAAATGGCAGTGTCCCGGATCTCATCGGCTCCCGGGTGGAGTGCGAATACGGACCGGGGGTGTCCACAGCTGCGACCGTGCACCTGGACTACGGCCCCGCTCAGATCCAGACCTGCCCACTGCTCCCCAGGAACAACTACCAGCCCATCCTCCCCGGAACAGGTGGGCAGCATAAGTACATATTATACGTGTTGATTTCTGTGGGATCGAGAACCCTATTTTTAACCTTTGTGTTATCCTCTGGTCTAACTTACTCCCCACAGTGATTAAAAAAATACCCTACATTTTTTTTCAAGCTATATATTGATGATTTATAGCTGGATTAATTATAGTTTTAGACCCTTTAAGACCCTACTTAACAGTATTTTTCTTTTACTTTGAATCATCTCTGGCGGGTGATTTTGACCTGAGGGTAGCGGGTATTGGAGGTCCATGAATGTCTACAAAGCATAAGATTAAGGAGGTTGCTAAACAACCAGACTCTATTTCACATGGCTACTAAACTGGTCTGCCCAGTCTGGTCCCAGTCTACATGTGCATCACAGTATCCGAACAGAAGATAATTTATTTTTTAGTTTATTGTTTATTAATTGGGGACAGTACATGTTAATGAACACATCACTACAGATTGAAGCCCCTCAGCCCCGGGACGGTTGCTGAGTGGATAGCGCACTCGATTGATTAGAAATGTAATTGTAAATAGAATTGCTATCATACATACAGTATGAGCACAATCTTGACTCTCTTACTTTGAGAATTTGATTTTGAGTTTGGAATTTGAACACCAAAACACAGAAACACAACACAAATGTCATTGCAACGATCATAATGTGTGTATTTACATCCAAATACATACATATGGGAAAGGACTGGCTTTGCTCTGTGGTCATCTGCTGGCCCTGTCTCAGTAGTATCCCTTTCATGCCAGCAGAACCTGAGTAGAGGTGGTACAATCCACTCATGCCAAACTCTTGCTCAATTGAACTAATTTCGAATAGGTTAGTTATCTGGTTTGTCACTAGTGCTTTGTAAACATCCTTGTCTTGCGCTAACTTCAGGGCCAGACACGAGGATAAAGTTGCATCATAAAGACGTATCAGACATAAACAACCTCTCATCTATGAATCACTTGATCTTGTGGCCTCAGCATGTGGGGCACAATTACTTATGAAGACAATATGGCCTGCTATGATTTTCCTCCATGAATGTAGATACTCTATCTCTTTAACTCCTACAGTTTATTGCTTTTGTATGTGCTTTTAACCTCTTTTGTCCGTACTGTCAATTGCTTTTCCTATGTGTTTTTTCCCTGGGTATTCTTGCACAAATATTCTAGCATGGTTTTTAACTGCAAATGGTGAATAAACTCAACTGAATCTGATCTGCATTTATGTCTGTTGCCAATTCCTCTGTCCTCAAGTGTGCTGTATAATTAATTTGGATTGGCATTTTCTCAAGATGCACTTTATAACATTACCCTCGTCATCTGGCCATGTGTCTGGTACGAAGATTGGATAAGTTTCTGGTAATTGTTAAAGTTTGTGAGTGCTAAATCCATAAAATATGAATACAATACAGACAGTTTATCAAATGCCCGACCAGAGAGGAGAACACTCTGGATCACTGTTACACCACCGTGCGCGGAGCTTTTCGCGCTGTTCCCAAGCCAGCCCTCGGCTTCTCAGATCACTACCATGATACATCTGGTTCCTGCTTACAGACAGAGACTAAAGCTCTCCTTTGTTTGTGCAGATCATCTGACTGTTTCGCTGGAGATAAAAGTGAATGGCACAGCTGTGGTATCTGGAAACTTCATCGTTTATGATTGTGAACGGACCGGAGCCATACATCCAAAGACGTCGTGAGTCCCCAAAAACTATTGTCATACTCTGTTTATCTCAAATCCCTCATTTATTCAGCGCTGGCCAAGCGAAAAACACCCATTACATGCTAATTTAATTCACTTACCTTCAACTCGGGGGTTTTAAGAGCTGAAGGAGAAGTCTAAAAAAGATCTTTCTAGGCATTTGACATGATCAGAGCTGTTCCTAAAGCTACAGTGTCACTCACATGTCAGCGCAAATGTCTCGCTGGTATTGCTGACAAATAGCTGCAGGCGGGAGGAAGAACAATGCAGAGCCCATGTTATGTTTCCTGGCATTTTCTGTCTCACTGTGCGACCGTTTTAGCTTTCCTCTGGGATTTTTTTGTCAAAATACATGTTCTTTGTCGCCATCTCCATTCATTTAACACGTTTACAGTAAGAGTGTGAAGCTGGTAAACAACAAATATTGAAGAATTTATCGTGACATTTAAGGAAACACGTAAGCAAGAAAAAACACAATGCCTGTGCAGCATTTAAAAAAAGCTTTATTGATCACCTTTATTTGACATTATTAAAGTGAATGTCAGTTACTTTTCAAAATGTGAAGAGAGGGTAGCACTTTTTATAGACAAGCACTGGTTAGACCCGCCCATAATCGCCCCCGCAGCCTCCTGATTGGTCAACATTAATTCCTATCTTTGAGGTCCTTCGTCATTGACTTAAAGATGCAGTTTTGTTAGCTTAGCCGTAGCACCAACTGGAAACCACTCCCCCCTCCCCTCGCCTCTCCATCAAACCAAACATCCAGCATTTTCTTTTCTTTGTCACAACAGGAAAAGTGGGTGGCAAACGTGAAATTGGCATTTTCTGCTCAGCCATTTAAGGTTTTAGAAAATAATCAGATAACTCAGGTGCGCGCACTGGCGAGAAACAGGAAGAGTGTGAAGGAGGTTAACGAATCCCATTGGTTTATTTTTATCGGCCTGCTCCAAAATATTTTGTATTAATTTTTGGAGACGATAGGAATCTGGTCAATTCCATTACTATTTGAAAACACATGATAACTTGACCACTTTCAGGGTTTGGGGACGTTTTGCCACTATAGTTAAGAAAATGCCTTTGGAAAAAATCACTGACTGTATCTTTAACCATTTTCCACCAGCGACTCTTACTAGTTATGACAAAGGAAGAGACTATTTAAAATGTATTATACTTAAAGAAATACTTACAGAACACATTAAAAGATGTGTGTGTATGTATATTTCTGACCATGCACTATACATTGGTTCGATATCGCAGCGCACAGACAGGACAGTAGCAAGAGCCAACAGGGAACACACAAAATATTAAAGCAACTGCTATGCATTTTAAATCTCTATCTATACAAATACGTTCTGTAAAGTTATACACACTATAGTTTTATACACTCTCTCAGGTTGGCAGTAGTATTTACAATCATAATGACTATGTGAGATTTCATAAAACATTTAAGCAACTTTTGTTAAAGTTAAACTCATCATTCTATCAATGTGCAGAAGCCTTTGCTTTTCCACTACTTGTTTTGACTATCTCTGCTGGCACTGTGGCAGCTGCTGATTGGCGGACTTCAGTTGTCTACCATGCTATATTATCACTAACAGTTTTTTACATCCTTTGTTCGCGTTGTTCGTGCTGTTTCTACCATTGACAATAAAACATGTCTTCTGTCTGAATGAAAGACACAATCCCAGACTTTGTCATCTTCTTCAACTATTCTGCATAACAATGACTATGTTTGTAAAGGGCAATCTGGTTTTCACTAGTGCGTTGTAAACATACTCTATGTTGTCTTGCGCTAATTTCAAGACCAGACACGAGGATAAAGTTGCATCATAAAGACGTTTCAGACATAAACAACCTCTCATCTATGAATCACTTGATCTCGTGGCCTCAGCATGTGGGGCACAATTACTTATGAAGACTATTTGGCCTATGTATCTACGCTCTATCTCTTTAACTCCTGCAGGTCATTGCATTAGTATGTGCTTTTAAATTCTTATTTTTTTCAAATACTATTTTTGTAAAGGGCAGCAAATGGCATGGACAGAATGAATTGCAGATAATGTCACTTAATGCAATATTTATTCAGCTCTGATTCAGCTGTCGCCCCGTACATTCATTGTCATTGTAAACCGTGACTAACTAAACTCATTTCTTCATTATAATGTTGCAAGAATATTCATCATTTTTATTCATGCGCATTTCCGTGCACAATTGAATAGAAATGTAATGTTCTTTCAGGCTTGGCAAATGGGTGCATGCGTATGGCTGGTCATGTTTTTGTGAAGGACTGCAGCGTGTAGAGGGTTTTCTCACATGTGGAGTTAGTCCAACTTGGCTCCTTCTTTTTGCATGTTGGACAATGTCAGTGGATCTATTTTATCTGATGGGCGGATGGGAGCTTATACGGGTGTGTGTGTGTGTGTGTGTAGGACTGATTGTGTTTCAAAGCATTTGGGTGTGTCCCCTTTGTTCTTTTCGTGTTCTTGTTTTGATGAAAGCTTTCCGAGGTGTGAATAGAGGAGTTGCAGGTACATGTGCACGCGGCTCGGTGAGGTCCAAGAGTGTGAAATTAGACGGCAGTTTGTTGGAGGTGATAATGAGCACAGTGCCATTCTCACAGGAAGCTGCACATCGGGCTGAAAACTGCAGTGAGGGAGAGTCGCTCTATCTGATTTCAATCACTTCAATAATCCCTAAAGAGACGGCATCATGAGCTGCTCCTAAACGTGGCTGCATCACACAGTCCAGTGTCGGGGATTTAGGTGTGTCTAATGCCTGCAATAGATTATCTTTGATCCAGCTGTCATAAATATGCATTATCCCCTGTATTTGTCTTTGCCAGTCAATATTTGAATGCATTAGAGGTATTTCACACCGCCAGACAGTCCGACTAAAGCTATTCAGGAAATGTTTTTACTTTTTGGGGAAGGTTCTTGGTATTAAACTTTGAAGCTGGGATACCTTATTTTGCAGTCAGAAAAACTAAATTTAAATATATCATTAAACTAAATTAATGATATGTTTAAACTGTAAAATAGTTCCTTGCTTGTACAAAGTCTTTGGTACATTATTTCTCTATAACATGCAGCTTTTGTACTAATATTGAATCCTCAAGTAGAGGACACTATCCTTGCTGAGTCATTCAGCTCTCACCCCACCATAATGTAATGAGAAAAAAGTGAAATCTATTTTTTCCAAATAACATAAAGGCATTATGTACTGGTCTCTATTTCCTTCACCAAAGGAAATGAAATGTTACATTTAATGAGAAAAATAGGAAACCCACAATGACCATTATTTAACTTTGTTTAATATAAACCAATGATCCAGTTATATTCTAAAATGAGTTCACTACACATAGACTTTCTGCTGAAACCATAACGCTGAATGACCTTGGCTTTGTTAGCAATGAGCAAATTCCATTAAAATCACTTTGCATTTTGAAACAGTAGCCTATCTGACAAATAAAGTCTGGTCTGTAGTCACTTTTTACATGAAAAAACAATGTGCTACAAACAAAAGACTTTAAAACAAGATACATTCGGTAAGACAGAGTAGTGAGTACTTCTGTGGGTACTCTGTGTTCAAAAACAGGTGCAGGTGCTCGTCAAGGACTATCTGTGAGATTCTCAAAAAAGGCAGAGGAGAGTGACAATGCTGCTGTGTAAAAGCCGTAGAAAGAGAGGTCTGAGGCACTCTGTCAGTAGATGAAATAGAATTATAGTCTTTTATTATTTAACGCTCCCATGTGTAGAACAATACATTTATTTTGTCTACTAACAGAGTGCCTCAAACCAATGTTTGACGGCTTCTACACATATTTTATAATGTAAGTTCACACTGTCTCCAGTGAAAAACATATACTGTATAATATGCAGTATATTGGCATACTCAGTCACTGGTTCAAAATGTCCACACATGTTTCCCATAGTGAGAGAAACATCTTATCTTAGTAATATGAGCAGTGCATAATAGTGAAAGTAATAATATATAATTGTATATGTACCTTGCAATTCTTTTCAATTTCATTTGAAATGAAAGCTCTATAATCAATCTCTCAGATTTATTTTCACTCTTTAGTCTCCTGTAAGCCCCATCTGGAGTGAGGCTATCTCATCCTTGTGGAAAGAAAACACACCTACCATTAATTTTTGCTCTCAGCTATATTTTACAATGGAACTTGCCCCAGGAATACTCTTGAGTAATAAAAGTAAGTATTGTTTTCAAAAGCCTGCCTCCAACTCTAGAACAAAGGGAGGTTTATGTTACGCCATGTCTAAAGCGGTTTCTCTGTTTCTTTCTGGACAAAGTGGTAACGACAGCCTGCCCAGTGGGATGCACCTCATCTGGCCTCTTTATGTCCAACACTCAGTCACTCCTTTATTTTCCTCTCAAAGTCTCCAGTTTTATTTTCCTTCTCCGCTTGTGGTCTATTGCTTTACATACAGTGTGAATAGGCTAATTCTGTTAACAGCGCTATCTGCAGCCAGGCGTTTAATGAGTCCTCTGATTCAGCATCTATTTATATATTTCAAAATAGTTCATCCACTTGTATTTGAATATCATTCGGGCCATGTAAAAGTAATTATTGTTAAATGTAGGGAAAAAGCTCGTCCAGGGAGAGTTGAAAATTAGCATTAGCTGTAGACTCTGCCTGTTTGGCATCAGTGCTACTGCTTCACTGTTTCCTAAAGGTTCAGCTGGTGCTATAGTGGTGGTATAGTAACAATCTTAACTATTGTTTGCAATGTTTTAAAGTGTAAATCCCTATTATTTTATCCCTTTAATATTAGGAACGTTTCAGCGTTATGCCTTCATCAAGCAATTATGAGAAGAGAACCAGGAAGTAATCTTAGATAGGTTGGGGCAGGTAAGCAAAAAAGATACAAAAGATACAAAAAATACAGATTTTTTTTTTTACATAATCCGATATAGAAGATGATCTGAATATTTAAAGCACAGATTAAGTCACTAAATCAATTTAAAACAAGATT